ACTGGCCCAGGTTAACCTCTCTCCTGCCAAGCACTGGCCCCACCCTCCCAGCAGCACATGTAAAACTTTTCCCTGCCAGGGGTGCTCCAGTCTTCTCCCAGCTCAGCCTGCAGTGGCCCACGTGGCCAATGAGCCCTGCGCCTTGAGTAATGGGGGAGTAGACAGCACTGGGCTAATAAACAGCACTGGACGATGAAAAAAAAAAAAAAAGAATGAATTCTAAATAACCAGACTGCACTGCTGTGCAATAACTTTGCTTCTCTAATTATAGTCTTCTCTTACCACTATCAGCCAACACAACCACAGTTTAAAATCCCAAAGGAGACTCCCTTATTGTCATAGCAACCTTGCTGTTTCCTCACTGCCTCAGCCTGACGCAGTCATTAACCCGAGAAAATCGGCCACCTTATGGTGAAAGACGTCACCAGAGACCAAGCTCACTTCGCACACCCACCAAAGCACAGCCAGTTTCCAGTTTAGACAACAAGCAATCAACAGGAAATGCCATCCTTAAGGGCTTAAAAATCCATCTAAAGGATCCGCATGGAGACAAACCAGTCAGCGAAGCCCGTTTATATTTAGTGTTTACCAGTTTCAGAGCGTCCTCCTGGGGGTGACCAGTTACACAGGGACTAATGTTTTAACTCTTCCGTAGTTCTAGAGGGTGATCTACAGAACTTTCCATGTCCACTTGTCTAAATCACTCCACTGCCAAACCTCGGCCATGATTTTGGCATTCGTGTTCTTTTTGACACCTGACTAGTTTAGAGTGGCAGTATTAGCTTTTCAGAACAGTTTTTGTTTCTTCCGACACATTCTTCTGTCCGCGAAGCTGGCAGCCAGCAGCCCCAGGAGAGGTCTCTATATCTGGACGGCACCTTGGCCTCAAGTGACTTGGAGGAGGAGGTTGGGAAAAAGGGAAAAGGCTTTGGTAACATAATAAAACCGTCCAGAGTCCTGCCAAAGGATAAAGACAGACATGAGAATAGAGACATGAGGGTCCCTTATTTTATCAGGTGTGGTGTACTGACTCATAGCTGACCCTCTACTGGGTTTTCAGAGCCTGTAAATCCCAGAGAAGGAGAATGCCCATGTTTCTCCTGTTGAGCATCTGGTGGATTCGAACTGCCTGCCTTTGGATTGGCAGTGCCACTTCTTACCACTAAGTTAGCAGAGCCCCTTGCCTCTAGGGGTGCTCAAAAGGCTTTCTGGCAAAGTTGGACAGAAGCAAAGTCCTGGAGAAGCCTTACAAGTTTCTAAAAGGACAAAACCCCAAAAATCTTGCAGGCTCTGGCATGTAACTACATGCTTGCAAACATGTTAGCAGCAGACAGTGGTGGTGACTGTAGCAAACCTTCCAAGTTCTGATTAATGGCATCCATCTACCTTTTAAAAACCTCCGTATGTTACACAAAAACCCCACAGCTGGGGTTTGGTCTACAGGGTAACACTGGGAGAGCTTTCATTTTATGGGAAAGGAAATGGTGAATGGGAAGTTCTGAGTGTTTACTATGTGCTAGGAGTAATTCTCAGCGTTTTAGATTTATCAAATTCATTTCATTCTCACAACAACCCTGCTGAGGGCATTATTACTGACCTACCAAAACTGAGTCACAGAGTAATTGCTGTCATTCTTAGAATCCACCGAGATGAGTACGACTCATAGTGACCCTAGGAATGACAGATCTGAACCCTGT